TCGGCAAGCAGACGATTCATATTTTGTTTTTGTATTCTTTCTCTCGAGACACACCGACTCGACGCTGACCGAGGCATTGACGAAGCCGAGTAGCATTTCGGAGGCGAAGCTAGCGTAAAAGAGAATTGAAGTAATAGCCCCGCGCGCCCGTACCATTAAGCGTCAAACGAAAATTGAAAAAGAATTTGTTCCTCATGCAACATCTTGGTATTGTATAGTCTTTGGTTTAACTCCATTAATTACATTACAGTACATATTCCCATAAACTTGTTCCTTGGAAATTTTTTTCATACAAAATATTTTTTGCTGTTATACCCACTTTCTATGTGAAAAAAGTACAATTATATTTTTTTTGTTATTAAAAAAATTGATATCGAATTTCTTTATGCCTTTTTGTTTTGTACTTATTAAATAAATAATAATATAAAATAAAAATATAAAATAAATCAAGAAAACACGTGTTGAAAAAAACGTCATTCAAAGCAGTGCACATATAGCCATTTTACTAAGCTATTTTTAACCACTCCTTCGAGGCAAGTGATCTATAGACTTGCCCTCTAACCAAAGCTTTTTCTTATCGCGTAACATCTCTTCAATATGCCTGGGAACACGACTGATGTTGTGAAGTTTATTAGCTGTTATTATTGGAGCAGAGTGTTTTGAGGCCATTAACATTACATACACTAATTCTTCAACTGAGCTGTCCATGTCATCTTTGCAATAAATATTTTGGCAGCCATCAATATGGGATCTCCTATACTTCCTGTATTTGAGCCAATCTGTTTTGCTAGAAGGGAGAAAGTGTGAGCCTGCTGCACTATTCTGTAACAGCAAATTCAATCAAGTCTGGTAACTTCTTTGGATCTGTTGGCCAATTGAAATAAAGAAATATAGTCAAGTTTGTTTCGTTGTGTGATTATAGTTGTCTTCCTTTCGGGTTGCTGAGTCAACATCCCCAATGGGTGTGCCTGGCATTGTAGTCCCCAGCTGCTATAAAGCAGTCACCTAATAGGTCGAAGAATTTTACAAATTCTTGCCTGCCGGGAGAAATAAAGTCAAGTTTGTTTCGTTGTGTGATTATAGTTGTCTTCCTTTCGGGTTGCTGAGTCAACATCCCCAATGGGTGTGCCTGGCATTTCAGTCACCAGCTGCTATAAAGCGGTCACCTAATAGGTCGAAGATTTTTACAAATTCTGCTTCGGAAACGGAGAAGCAGTACACTGCGGCTAAGTCTAAGTAACCAGGGGGAACGTTGTGAGTTGCTGCGGACACCGCAACTCTACAGTTATACCCGATACTTAGTCAGTATGGCTCTCCTCCGGCAGACGCCGCTAATATTAAACGACACGACAAAGAGGCGAGCGAGGGAGACAGAAAATCAGTCTGAGCGTGACGTCGGGCTCTGCGTAGCCACTGTAAATTGATTTGTTCCTTTTGGCTATAAAAATGATCTGATCTGATCCAGATTCAGCAATCTGATAGATATGATCATTATCTATGATTCTGCGTTTTTAGTTTTCTCGAATCTGCAATATTGTGGATGCAACAGTTCTTCGTCCTTTGTGTGGGCGGAAGGGGGTGGGGCGAAAATTTGAGATATACGTTTTATAGTGAGATCTAACAGGAGTGCGGATACTAAATTTTTACTCTAGCCATAATAGTCTCTGAGATTTGTGAATATCCCCAAATTTGCATCCTTTGTGGGGGCGGAAGGGGGTGTGGCGAAATTTTGAAACAAACTCGTCTCGGTCCGATATATTAGGAGTGTGGATACCAAATTAGGTTGCTCTAGCTTTTATAGTCTCTGAGATCTAGGCGCTAATGTTTTACTCTAAGCAAAGCCGCCTATGCTACGTGTGTGTTAGAGAGAGACAGGGCGAGAAAAAATGAAATTGTTTTCTTGATGCTGGCTATAATAATAATACGATCTAATTCAGATTCTGCAGTCTAAAAGATATGGTCATTCTCTACAATTCTGCGTTTTGGTTTTATCGTATCTTTAAAAATGTGGATGCCACAGATTTTCGTCCATTGTGGGGGCGGAAGTGGGCGGGGCGAAGTTTTGAAATATTTTTTTAGCAGTGACATATCACAGAAGTCTGGATCCAAAACATCGTTGCACTAGCTCTTATAGTCTTTGAGCACTAGGCGCTGAAGGGGACGGTCAGACGGACGGACGGACAGACAGACATGGCTCAATCGACTCGGCTATTGATGCTGATCAAGAATATATATACTTTATGGGGTCGGGAACGATTCCTTCTGGACGTTACACACATCCATTTTCACCACAAATCTAATATACCCCAATACTCATTTTGAGTATCGGGTATAAAAACTCACTATCAACAAACCCGTTCTTAAATATGGGCATTTCCGTGGAAATGTCAACCGAGAAAAATAATTGAATGCTATATAAACCCATTTCCCATAAAAGTATCCCTCTCGCACAGTGCGTTTGTCGTGTCGTTTAATAGTAGCGGCGTCTGCCGGCGGAGAGCCATACAGACTAAGTATCGGGTATAAATTGTTGTGGTCTCCGCGGCAACTTGCAACGTTCCCCCTCGCATAATATTAGCATTGTGACATTGCCCGTGTGACATTGTGTTCCATTGCAAGAATACGCAACCTCGTTTTTCGGAAACGTTATGATACTAAGATGGGGAAGATCAAAATTAAAATGATCAATCTAACAAATGGTAATTGTGCAGTATTTAATTGTAAATGAAAATAATTTCTTTTTAAGATTTAATTTATTTCTCATATGCAAAAAGCAGCCAACGCCTAAATAACGTAGCGCAGTTACCATCTTAAGGATGGTTGAAATAGATGATAATAGGATCCATTTAAAATTATCTAAAATTATAGCGAAAACTATGAAATTCATATTTAGTTGTTTATAAATTAAAAGGGGAGTGACAAAAGATTAAATTTTATATTATTTTAATACAATTTAATGTTTTTTGTCTAACCTTATACAAAGATGACATATCTTTCTTAGATCGCTAATGAAAAAAATTAAAATAATCGAAGATTAACATTTGACAAAATTATGTATGCATGTATGAATGAAATCTCTAGATAGCCTATGTGCCGTACGCATGTTTCGGTGGATTTTGCAAAACTCTCACACGGAAATTTTAGTTATTTCAATGAAATTGTTTGCCTTAATCTACTTTAATGAATATAGCTAGTATTTTCTTTTTAATTTATACTAAATTGAATAGAGATTTGAGGAAAATTCAAATTCACCGTTTTCTTTGGCTTGTGCCGGAAATATTAGTGCCTGAAGTGTACATTTTAGTTTGTCGTATTCAAGTGTCGGGGAGTGTAAATTAAGATACATACATACATATATATTAGAGTGTCCCGTATATAGATGAAACATTTTTTTCGCGAATTCAATAATTCCTCATCCACTGTTAGAAGACCGTACAAATCTTGCACAGTTCTTTCTGCTAAATAATCAACTGCCGTAAGTAATGAAAGAGTGTTCTTGCTTTTTTAAATAATATAGGGTATTGTTCCATGATTGCTCCTTACGAAGAATACAGAAATATTTGAGTTAATACTAAAAGGCTTTAATATTACTTATTAAAATTTGCAACGTTAAGATCTTCCATCGATGGTACATATCGTTGTTCTAAACTGGATCTATTGTTTTCTGTCAAATGCATCACCATTCTTTCTTTTACATGTTCTTTCATCATTAAGACAAATTATGACAAAAATTTCTTTAGAGCTGCTTTAAATAACATATCATCAATATTTTAAAAAGCATAAATACGGTGCTTTCACAGCCGAGGAACTCTGAAGCTTAGGATTTACTTAGGCAGATATTGTGAAAAAATTACAGGTCGTAGACAGATGCGTTTTTTTTTTGGTTTTTTTTTTTTTGTTTAGTAAACTTGAGCTGAGAGTTTTTAATTGCAATTTTTAAGGTGGAAATTGCTGCTGTCATCCAACGAGCTTTATGCATCGCCCCAGTATGCCTATTTTTCGTTCTCGTCAAATATCGCCACCTAGGAACGCTATGGAGAGTTCAATTATCCCTCCCGAAAGTTGCCTCTTGCATAATTATTTCCAGTTTCGCTTGAAAACTGCAATCAGAGGAAATCTGCAAAAAGAGGAATATCTGGACTATGCGCATAACTTTTCAGTACAAGCTCATAGATGTAATGTCGATATGTTTTTGACCTAAAAATAAAAACGTGACGTTAAACTGACCTGATACTACTGTATCAAAACAAAGAATTTTTACACAATCTTCAAGATTCCATTTTCGAATTAAATTCCAAACAGCCCGTTCTTGTTCATTTCTTGTCGAATTTTTCAGTTGTGGCAAAACAATGAGTTGTTCTGTATTTTCAAATGTGATTACAATTGGAAGACGTTTCTCCTTACAGCTTCAACCATCTAGAACTGGGAAAAGCTTTCCATCTCAATGAAGATTGAAAATTTCTGGCATATTGTTGAAATTTCTTCCGACTTTCTGCTCGCATTCGTTGAATGGTAGACTTATTAATACTAAGCTCATGAAAATTATAACCAATTGCCTGTATTGTAGATGGACGAATTTTACATTCCTTTACAGTCCTTTACAGCATTTATCCAAGGCTGTCACTTTTTACTATTGTATGTACTGTAACGAATGGAGATTAAGAAGGCTGCCTATTGGTTATCCAGTCGGCATTGTTTGGAACACGTAAATTCCCCAGTTCAATAAAGTCTCTCTGTATAGTAAAAGAAGTCTCTACTTTTATATTCTCAACCTGGAAAAAACGCACTGTATAAACGTAACGTTAAATAAAAGTCAAATAGGGATTTCAAATTTGACATCAGTGAGAAACATGTTGCCAGAAAACTAAATGTAAATTTAAAAAAAGAGAGGGTTTGAGTGTTGTTGTTAAGGTAAACTTTTTCATAAATGGACTATATCATTGTATTTCTTAAATACATTTATCAAGAAATTTAATAGTAATACGAACTTTTTTGCATAGCTCACAAACGTTGGGATCAACGCAAACTCGTTCTCATTCAGCACGCTCACGATGGAGTCGGACAAGTTTATTTGTGTGCGCGAGAAAGTTAATGATACCGCCCAAGTAGTCATCATTGATATGAACGATTCGACCAATCCCACACGACGTCCCATATCAGCTGACTCGGCCATTATGAATCCAGCAAGCAAAGTTATTGCTCTCAAAGGTAAGAAAATATATACCTTTAAAATTCCTGAAAAAATTATACATTTTTCCATATTTTCGTAGCGCAAAAGACGTTGCAGATATTCAATATTGAAATGAAATCAAAAATGAAGGCTCACACGATGAATGAAGATGTTGTGTTCTGGAAATGGATATCTTTGAACACTTTAGCATTGGTGACCGAGACGAGCGTTTTTCATTGGTCTATGGAAGGTGACTCGATGCCACAAAAAATGTTTGATAGACATTCCTCACTCAATGGCTGTCAGATAATCAATTATCGCTGCAATGCTACACAACAATGGCTGCTTCTGGTAGGCATATCGGCACTTCCCAGCCGCGTTGCCGGCGCCATGCAGTTGTATTCCGTGGAGCGTAAAGTATCGCAGGCCATCGAAGGTCACGCAGCCAGTTTTGCGACTTTTAAAATAGACGGAAACAAGGAACCGACTACGCTTTTTTGCTTTGCAGTTCGCACCGCCACAGGCGGCAAGCTTCACATCATTGAAGTCGGAACACCGCCTAATGGCAACCAGGCTTTTCCAAAAAAGGCTGTTGACGTCTTCTTTCCACCGGAAGCCCAGAACGACTTTCCAGTGGCCATGCAGGTCTCAGCGAAGTACGATACCATCTATTTGATAACCAAATATGGATATATTCATCTGTACGATATGGAGACCGCCACATGCATATACATGAATCGCATATCGGCCGATACAATTTTCGTGACCGCTCCGCACGAGGCCAGCGGTGGAATTATTGGCGTCAACCGCAAGGGTCAGGTGCTATCTGTAACTGTTGACGAAGAGCAGATCATTCCTTATATAAACACTGTTTTGCAAAACCCTGACTTGGCCCTGCGAATGGCTGTACGAAACAATTTAGCAGGAGCGGAGGATCTTTTTGTCCGCAAGTTCAACAAGCTGTTTACTGCCGGTCAGTTCGCCGAAGCGGCCAAAGTTGCTGCTCTGGCTCCCAAGGCCATTCTTCGCACTCCTCAGACCATTCAACGATTTCAACAAGTGCAAACACCAGCAGGCTCGACGACGCCACCTCTACTGCAGTACTTTGGTATTCTGCTCGACCAGGGCAAGTTAAACAAGTTTGAGTCCCTGGAGCTGTGTCGTCCAGTTCTGCTGCAAGGAAAGAAGCAACTTTGCGAAAAATGGCTAAAGGAGGAGAAACTTGAGTGCAGCGAAGAACTAGGTGATCTCGTTAAAGCCTCAGACCTCACGCTAGCGCTCTCCATTTACTTGCGTGCCAATGTTCCCAATAAAGTGATTCAGTGTTTTGCAGAAACTGGACAGTTTCAAAAAATTGTGCTTTATGCCAAGAAGGTTAACTATACACCAGACTACATTTTTCTGCTGCGTTCGGTGATGCGTAGCAATCCCGAGCAAGGTGCTGGTTTTGCATCTATGCTTGTAGCAGAGGAAGAGCCTCTGGCGGACATTAACCAGACTGTCGATATCTTCATGGAACACTCTATGGTACAACAGTGCACGGCTTTTTTGTTAGATGCCCTTAAGCACAATCGCCCGGCCGAGGGTTCGCTGCAGACGCGTTTGCTTGAAATGAATCTCATGTCTGCCCCACAGGTGGCCGACGCTATACTTGGTAATGCTATGTTCACCCACTACGATAGGGCACACATCGCCCAGCTGTGTGAAAAAGCAGGTTTGTTGCAGCGTGCTCTGGAGCACTACACAGATCTGTACGATATAAAGCGGGCTGTCGTACACACGCATATGCTGAATGCTGAGTGGCTGGTTAGCTTCTTTGGGACTTTATCGGTGGAGGACTCTCTGGAATGTCTGAAGGCTATGTTAACAGCAAATCTGCGGCAGAATTTACAAATCTGTGTACAAATTGCCACCAAGTACCACGAGCAGTTGACCACCAAGGCGCTAATTGACCTATTTGAGAGCTTTAAGAGCTACGACGGACTGTTCTATTTCCTAAGCAGTATTGTGAACTTCTCACAGGATCCAGAGGTTCACTTTAAATACATTCAAGCCGCCTGTAAGACAAACCAGATAAAAGAGGTGGAACGAATTTGTCGCGAATCTAATTGTTATAACCCGGAGCGCGTGAAGAATTTCTTGAAGGAAGCTAAACTGACTGATCAACTGCCGCTGATTATTGTTTGTGATCGTTTTGACTTTGTCCATGATCTGGTGCTGTACTTATACCGCAACAATCTCCAAAAGTATATAGAGATCTATGTGCAGAAGGTAAACCCTTCTCGCTTGCCGGTTGTTGTGGGTGGTTTGCTTGACGTCGACTGCAGTGAGGATATTATCAAAAATCTCATACTAGTGGTCAAGGGTCAGTTCTCTACGGATGAGCTGGTGGAGGAGGTTGAAAAGCGTAATCGCTTAAAGCTCCTACTTCCCTGGCTTGAGTCTCGGGTCCACGAAGGCTGCGTTGAGCCCGCCACACACAATGCCTTGGCCAAGATTTACATTGATTCAAATAACAACCCAGAACGTTTCCTCAAAGAAAATCAGTACTACGACAGCCGCGTGGTCGGTCGCTACTGTGAAAAGCGTGATCCTCATCTGGCCTGTGTTGCCTACGAACGGGGCCAGTGCGATCGCGAATTGATCGCTGTCTGTAACGAAAACTCACTATTTAAAAGTGAAGCTCGTTATCTAGTGGCTCGACGTGATGCCGAACTCTGGGCGGAGGTCCTGTCCGAAGCTAATCCATACAAGCGCCAGTTGATTGATCAAGTCGTTCAGACGGCACTGTCTGAAACACAGGATCCCGACGATATTTCGGTAACAGTAAAGGCATTTATGACTGCTGACTTGCCGAATGAGCTGATTGAGCTGCTGGAAAAGATCATATTGGACTCTTCGGTGTTCAGCGACCATCGCAATCTTCAGAATCTGCTCATACTCACTGCTATTAAAGCTGATCGTACACGCGTTATGGATTATATAAACCGACTGGACAATTACGATGCACCGGATATAGCCAACATTGCGATTAGTAATCAATTGTATGAGGAGGCATTTGCCATATTCAAGAAGTTCGATGTTAATACGTCAGCCATTCAGGTGCTCATTGATCAGGTCAACAATTTGGAGAGAGCCAACGAGTTCGCCGAGCGCTGTAACGAGCCAGCCGTATGGTCACAGTTAGCCAAGGCTCAACTACAGCAGGGTTTAGTGAAGGAGGCTATTGATTCATATATAAAGGCCGATGATCCGAGTGCTTACGTGGACGTGGTTGACGTGGCTAGTAAGGTGGAATCGTGGGACGACCTTGTTCGGTATCTTCAAATGGCACGTAAAAAAGCGCGTGAGTCCTATATTGAGAGTGAATTAATTTACGCTTTTGCTCGCACTGCTCGTTTGGCCGATCTCGAAGAGTTCATATCGGGTCCCAACCACGCAGACATACAGAAAATTGGAGATCGCTGTTTCAGTGACGGAATGTACGATGCTGCAAAGCTCCTATATAATAATGTCAGCAACTTTGCCCGTTTGGCTATTACACTGGTATATCTTAAGGAGTTTCAGGGTGCTGTTGACTCGGCGCGAAAGGCTAACTCGACGCGCACATGGAAGGAAGTTTGTTTTGCTTGCGTAGATGCGGAAGAATTTCGGCTAGCGCAGATGTGTGGCCTACATATTGTTGTTCATGCTGATGAGCTAGAGGATTTGATTAATTATTACCAGAATCGGGGATATTTCGATGAGCTGATAGCACTACTTGAGTCTGCTCTGGGCCTAGAACGTGCGCATATGGGAATGTTTACTGAGTTGGCCATACTCTACTCAAAATTTAAACCATCAAAAATGCGAGAACACCTAGAACTATTCTGGTCCCGCGTTAACATACCAAAAGTTCTGCGAGCTGCCGAGTCGGCTCATCTCTGGTCGGAGCTAGTGTTCCTTTACGATAAGTATGAGGAATATGACAACGCTGTGCTGGCCATGATTGCTCACCCGACTGAGGCATGGCGCGAGGGACACTTTAAGGACATCGTAACAAAGGTGGCAAATATTGAGTTGTACTACAAGGCCATCGAATTTTATTTAGACTTTAAGCCGTTGCTGCTGAACGATATGATTTTAGTGCTGGCTCCCCGAATGGATCATACTCGAGCTGTTAGCTACTTTTCCAAGACCGGCTACTTGCCGTTGGTCAAGCCCTATTTGCGCTCCGTACAATCCCTTAATAATAAAGCTATCAATGAAGCTCTTAATGGTCTCTTAATCGACGAGGAGGACTACCAAGGTCTACGCAATTCGATCGATGGTTTCGACAACTTTGACAACATTGCGCTGGCTCAGAAGCTTGAGAAGCATGAGCTCACAGAGTTTCGTAGAATTGCTGCATACTTGTATAAAGGTGAGTCGTGATGAACTACTGCAATTGATTTTTACGTCCATTGGCGCTCATATTTCAGGAAATAACCGTTGGAAACAAAGCGTTGAGCTGTGTAAAAAGGATAAACTTTACAAGGATGCCATGGAGTATGCCGCTGAGTCTGGAAAGCAAGAGATTGCTGAAGAGTTGTTGGGATGGTTCCTTGAGCGGAATGCACACGATTGCTTTGCGGCATGTCTTTATCAGGTGGGAGAAACAACATTGCAGTCCATAAAACCCTAACATGAAGGCCTTTTATATTCGTAGCATAATAGTGACCGAAAAACAAAATAACGTTTAAAAGGGTCTTTTTTTAAATATTCTCCTGGAAGATTACCCATGTTGAAACGTTTTAACCTATTTTCGCAGCACTTTTGGCACTTAGAAGGTAGTATCACTACCAGTCTCCGGCAAGAAAAAATAGTATTAGGTGTGGATATTTCTGCAGGAAAAAACTTGATTCGATGATTTGGGTGCTCAAAAAATCTGTTGAGTGGGGCAATGTTTGAAAGTTCGGGATTGTCGTAGCAAAGAAAAATCCGTTTTGGAGGTTGGTTTTACTCAAGGCGACCATTTGGTTTTAAAATGTTTCTTATGACAGCTTTTGTGACATTTGACTCGCTTAAAAACACCCATTCTGATGTTTTTTCGGGCTCATGTTCATATCATGTCCATAATTCGTCGCCTGTTGCGATGTCAAAAACGTGGCTGTATTGTATCACATTTTGTTCGCATCAATTGACAAGAGCCTTTTTTTTCGCAGTAGCAATGCATAGTGCTTTATCGCCAAAAGTTGAACTATGCTGATCTAAGCATTCTTTTCTTAAAAATCAACATAAAAAATAATAGAAAATCATGACAAGGAAAATTTCCAGGGACCGTAAATAATCATTATTTTTTTTTTGAATAAAAAAATCTCTTACTTTTAATGGACCTAGAAAAACACTATTTACACCAAAATCTTTATTTTTGTACAATCTCTGCATTGCCGCCATAATTTGTAAACTTTTGATTTTTTACGATTTTCTTCACAGATAATCTTTATTTTTGAGTAATTTGATAAAACTTAGAATTAATCATTATTCTTGATAAAAAAAAATAAAACTCAAAAATAATGATTATCAGTGATTTTTATTTTGTTCGCTTAAAATAAAACTCAACAGGAATTTACGGCTTCTGTGTTAGAATGTTCGCCAATATTATTGCATATCCTTGTCAAAGGACCACAAAGCTACACACTGTGCAAAAATTTTCTTTTTGAAAATACATTTAATTTTTTTGTTATTTTTGGTTTTGTTGTCGGAAATACGTTTAATTAGTTGTCGCTCTTGAGCTGCTTGAGCAAGGCTGTGCTATTGCACTAGTCTGAAATATAAATTTTAATAAAATTTAATTTTCATGTGTTTATTTCCGGTTTTTCTGAGATGAAAAATATAAAAAATATAAAAGCGACCGTACAATAAAAAGTTATAAGCCGGATTTTTTTTTCAAAAAAATTCAATTTCTGACGATTTTGACTAGAATTCATTTAAAAATTTTGTCACGATTTGTAGCCGACTGATGAGTTTTTATACGGCTTTGGAACTCCGTCGACATCTGATAGCTTCCACATTTTATATACGAAATTTATCTAGCGGTTGACACGTTGCGAATAGTCCAGATCCCTTACAACGGATGACGTGATCAAGATAAAACCGATTTTAATTCAATTTTTGAACATAACCTTGTTGCTACAATTAATTTTTTATCGCAGTCTTCCAAATCAGCCTCATTTATTTTATGCTGAATTCATCATTAGGCCCAAATCTCTTATGGTCCTATTCCAACCGACTTCAAGTCCAATTTACTAGTCTGCCAGAAAGGGATATCATAAGAAAATCGATCAATTAGACTTTGTGGCCGTTTGTGGAATAAAGTTTTGAGTATGTCGTCGTCCATTCTATTTCTTTCTGTATGTGGGACGGGCTGCTTGATTTTTATACCCGATACTCAAAATGAGTATTGGGGTATATTAGATTTATGGTAAAAGTGGATGTGTGTAACGTCCAGAAGGAATCGTTTCCGACCCCATAAAGTATATATATTCTTGATCGGCATCAATAGCCGAGTCGATTGAGCCCTGTCTGTCTGTCTGTCCGTCCGTCTGTCCGTCCCCTTCAGCGCCTAGTGCTCAAAGACTATAAGAGCTAGAGCAACGATGTTTTGGATCCAGACTTCTGTGATATGTCACTGCTACAAAAATATTTCAAAACTTTGCCCCGCCTACTTCCGCCCCCACAAAGGGCGAAAATCTGTGGCATCCACAATTTTAAAGATACGAGAAAACCAAAACGCAGAATCGTAGAGAATGACCATATCTTTTAGACTGCAGAATCTGAATTGGATCGTATTATTATTATAGCCAGCATCAAGAAAACAATTTCATTTTTTCTCGCCCTGTCTCTCTCTAACACACACGTAGCATAGGCGGCTTTGCTTAGAGTAAAACATTAGCGCCTAGATCTCAGAGACTATAAAAGCTAGAGCAACCAAATTTGGTATCCACAATCCTAATATATCGGACCGAGACGAGTTTGTTTCAAAATTTCGCCACACCCCCTTCCGCCCCCGCAAAGAATGAAAATCTAGGGATATTCATAAATCTCAGAGACTATTAAGGCTAGAGTAACCAAATTTGGTATCCGCACTTCTGTTAGATCTCACTATAAAACGTATATCTCAAAATTTCGCCCCACCCCCTTCCTCCCACACAAAGGACAAAAATCTGTTGCATCCACAATATTGCAGATTCGAGAAAACTAAAAACGCAGAATCATAGAGAATGACCATATCTATCCGGTTGCTGAATCTGGATCAGATCGGATCATTTTTGTAGCCAAAAGCAAGAAATCAATTTGCAGTGGCTACGCAGCGCCCGACGTCACGCTCAGACTGATTTTCTGTCTCTCTCGCACTCTTTGTCGTGTCGTTTAATATTAGCGGCGTCTGCCGGAGGAGAGCCATACTGACTTAGTATCGGGTATAACTGTAGAGTTGCGGTGTCCGCAGCAACTCACAACGTTCCCCCTCGTTTTTACTTAAGACAAGAAAATTTCAAAACCGGAACTTTATGCATACATAAATATTTAGCTTTTATAGCAGAAACACATCGTAAAACAAGAAGAAAATAAATTGGGGTATACTTTTTCTAGTAAAAAAAATCTGAAAACAACTATAAATTTTGTTGCATGAAGTTAGCTCTAATATATCCCTTGCATCTTTCTTTAAAAATTATTTAATTATTTAAGAATTGTATGTGTTACATACATCTGTAACATACAGAAGGAGCGGTTCCGATTCAATAAACTCGATATATTCTCGATCAGCATCGATAGCCGAGTCGATATAGCTATGTATATATGCCCGTATGTCCGTAAGTTAATCTGTCTGTCATATTTGAGCAACAAATTTTATATACAGACTTCTGTGTTATAACACTAAAACAGGTGTAGTTAATGCCACAAAATGGGCATCCCTCAAATGGCAAAAATCTGTGGCGTACACAATTTTGAACCGAAAGCGAAGAATCAGAGAGATGATAATTCCAGATTCCCAAATCAAATGGGATTGGATAACTTAAATATTTATTATTGGGTGGAAAGAAGATAGACGGAGAACGCAGGAATACATTAAATATTTATATGTACATAGATATTACATATGTACATATATTTTGTTAGTACTAATACACTCCCCGGCACTTGAATACGACACACTAAAATGTACACTTTAGTCACCAATATTTCCGGCACAAGCCTGAATTTTCCTCAAATCTCAATAGCAATATTCATCAAAGTAGATTGAGGAAACAAATTTTATTGACATAATTCAAATTTCGTTCTCAAAAAATGCGACACTTGAATACGACATTCATATTGAAAAATTTGTTATTTTGGATGTGGTCGCGACCGGACATCAAATAAATTCTCAAAAATCAATTAGAGTGTCCTTATTGCGAACAAAAAATTTGGGTTGTGGTAAATCCTTTTCAAAGGACGAAAAATAAAAAACCTCAGCCAACGGACGAAAACTTAAAATACTCCCGTACTTTTGCATATTCATATGGCGTTGAGTAGAGACTGTCGCTATATAGCATTTTCAAAGGAAAAAAATTTAAATTTGAAGGGTTTCTTTTTTATATTTATAAGGACTCAAGGAAGTAAAGGAAGTGAGGAGTAAAGAAGAATTACAATTGGATAGTTTTCACAGCAGTGTGAGCGCAATTATTCTGTGGTGAGCAAGATCCTAAAACGGTGTGGACCAGTTGATTTTTCATTAAGTCGAGTTTCTCAAGTATGCAAAAAAGGTGTTTTTATACCCGATACTCAAAATGAGTATTTGGGGTATATTAGATTTGTGGTAAAGGTGGATGTGTGTAACGTCCAGAAGGAATCGTTTCCGACCCCTTAAAGTATATATATTCTTGATCCTGTCTGTCTGTCTGTCTGTCTGTCCTTTCGTCCGTCCGTCCGTTCGACCGTCCGTCTGTCCGTCCCCTTCAGCGCCTAGTGCTCAAAGACTATAAGAGCTAGAGCAACGATGTTTTGGATTCAGACTTCTGTGATATGTCACTGCTACAAAAATATTTCAAAACTTCGCCCCGCTCACTTCCGCCCCCACAAAGGACGAAAATCTGTGGCATCCACATGTTTAAAGAAGAATCGTAGAGGATGATCATATCTTCTAGAGTGTAAAATCTCAACCAGATCGTATAATTATTATAGCCAGAATCAAGAAAACAATTTCATTCTTTCTCGCTCTGTCTCTCTTTCACACACAGGTTTCATGGTCGGTTTTGCCAATTGCAAAATATGAGTTCAAGGATCTCAGAACCTATAAGAGCCAGAGCAACCAAATTTGGTATCCACACTCCTGTGATATCGGACTTTGACCGTTTCGTGTCCAAATTTCGCCACACCCCCTTCCGCCCCCGCAAAGGACGAAAATCTGGGGCATCCACACATCTCAGAGACTATTAAGGCTAGAGTAACCAAATTTGGTATCCGCACTTCTGTTAGATCTCACTATAAAACGTATATCTCAGAATTTCGCCCCACCCCCTTTCGGCCACACAAAGGACGAAAATCTGTTGCATCCACAATACTGCACATTGGAGAAAACTAAAAACGCAGAATCATAGATAATGACCATATCTATCAGATTGCTGA